TTAACATGGGAAATAATAAACGTAAAGCCGTTTTAATTGCTGTAGACCTTGAAAGTGGAGCTAATGTTGTTATACATGCTATTGATATTTACTTAAATTTTTTACAACAAAATGCGTTGCCATGGCCTAAAAACTTATATTAAATAATAATGTAGGACATGGAACTTGTTTTGATAAACAAACTTAATTTTCAGCCTAAAAATATATTAAAGTTGTCTAATCATCAAACGGATCCCTTACTGATTGTATTTATGCTTATATTTTTTTTTTGAGTTAAATTAATTTTTCTTTATATAATAACCATAAAGCCTTCTAGAGTTAACATTATAAAAGCTCTTTGCTGGTTAGTCTTAGATGCAGCTCCAGGTAGATACTTCATTTTACATTCACCTTAGCAGCTTTTTTCATTCTACTTCCCAAAGTTTCTCACTAAATTTTTTTAAATATATATTTTCAGCATTAAATATATAAATTATTTATCTTTAATATACTTTAAATGTTTTATAAGATATTGTTCTTGCCTCGTATATTATTTTAGAGGACACTTTCTTTTTATACTATGGGAATGCCCACCAGAAGCCATGTAGTAATAGAAAAAACTCTGAGAAAAGAGGAGTCATATATCCCATAGACTACGAAAAATCAGGTAGCGTGCTCTTATAGACCGTAATTAATGCCCTCGAAAATTTTATAACATCAATTTTTTTTTAATTATACTGGGTTTTAGAGTAAAGTTATCACATTTTTATTTATAGGAGTTATTTATTCTGAAGAGCTCATAAACTTAATTGTGATACCTATTCCACAGGAAACGAGATTAATAAGTTTTATGGATTCTTGCATATGCAAAACTGGTATTATTACTTGGTTAGTATGATAAAAGTAGCACATCTTTTTCTTATAAAAATAATTAAAAATTAGTTTCTTGTATAATTAGTATAAGTAATGCAAATATTAACTAATACTCTTAAGTAAATGTAAACATTTAACAATAGCCATAACCTAATGTAATAACTTCTATCCCTCCGAAAAGCCTTAAAACTTCCACTATTCGAAAAATTTAACAGTGTTGGTAAAATATTAGTAGTATATCGTGTCGTCAATTCTAACAAGTAAGGCGAGTGGTAACTTTATGGAAGCACAACCATTAATTAGGATTATGGGTATAGTTGCTCTACCGTAATTTACATACAAAAAATTTTAAAATATCTTTTTTTTAAAAAAAGAACTTTAGGTTACAATTCACATGAGTATATCACAACATTAATGTAGCCCTCTTTTCACTATATTTGAAAGAAATTGTTTATTACTATATAGATTTAGGTCTTTCCTACACCAGAACATGCAACAACACCAGCCTTAAAATTTGTTCAGCACTCAAACTTTTATTCGGAAGTAAAAGATCCATCAGAAGGCCAATAAAACCGTCGGGTATAGAATTACATAATAACCCCCTTTTGTTATTCCATTAAATATTAAAATTTTAAAATGATGGTATCTGTGCTTAGTCTAGTCTTTTTAAGTAGCACAGACTCAACCTTTTAACTTAAAAGTTTTATAAAAATTTAAGCCAACTTCTTTACGAGTAAAGACGAGTCGTGAAGAGAGGCAATAGTTTTATCTACCTTATATTTGTATAAAAGTACAGTACAATAATTAAATTATCCATCTCATTATTTGAGATAGGCACCGCAATTTTCTTTAGCGGTTTTATCCACAACGAGAAGCCAATTGTAACTAATGGTAACTTAATCAGTAGTAATTATAACCTATACTTTAAATATTTTATCCAAAAGTAGATAAGGAGGGCGGGTGCACAATGACATGTGCATTTATCAAATGTATTGAAAAGCACTATGCGCGACTAACCTATTCCAAGACTCTAAAACTTATGTACTCCCTAATCAAGTGTAGTGGAAGCAAGCCGACATTGTACATAAGTTCTACTCACTATTTGGATCCTAATGAACAATTCTATGTTTAACTAAATAAAATAAAGGGTATCTTTTATTGTTTAAATGCTATTTCGCCCTACATATATAATTTTTTATAAAAAAAATTCCTTATATAATTACTTTGTTTTTGTATCCTCTTTTGACTCGTTCATATACTCTCCATATTGATTTTGAAAAATCATAATTAATATGTCCTTTCTTTGCATTTAAATTTTCTTTAATTGCATATTTAAAACTAACAGATTTTTCATTCAATTAATCACACACCCTTCTAAAAGGTTTATTACCTCTAAACCTTTACCAGGAGCTCTTTTAAAGCTCTTCCATTATATGGGTTTATTTACTGAAACCGAAAATTGCTTAATTAAATTTTATTCGGCTTTAGCAGATAAGGTGAGTAGAAGGGGAAAAAGCTTATAATTACCATTTACATCAACTAAAGATGGTTTATTAAACGATACAAGTGACATTACAATGTATTTAAAACAGTAAAGCAATAATAATCCTTGTTTAATGCAAAACAAAAAAAAAATGTTTTACCACTGTTTAATTTTGTCAGGTAACCCTAACGCGTTATTTAAAAAAAAAATCAGTTAGGTAGAAGTTTAAGAAAAAAGAATTATTTATTAAAGATAACCTTGAAATATAGTTTTTAGTTCTTATTAAAAAAATGTTTATTATCTACCACTATAATGTTTTATAAATATATAGCTGTTTTACACCAAAATTAATATTTTTAAACTAATAATTTATTCATCGTCAAAGTCACCCTTTTACTATGTCAGCGCTAATGATTTTATCCCGACGCAATTGCTAACTGGTGGCGTCAACGGGACCAATCCATTAACGAAGCAAAAGAAGGCGCTTCTTATAGGAGGAAAAGCCATGCGCTGCCTAATGCGTTAATTTTAAACGGCATGAAATTCCATGTTCATTTCAGAAAAAATACATGGGGGTCATTATAGATTCTAAGCTATCGTGGTGTCCACACGTAATTACGTGGCGGCGGAGGTCAACGCAACGGACACAGATGCTATACCTTTTATTGTGTAGCAAAGATAAACTTTCGTTGCGCAGTAAGCGAAGGCTTTATGTGTATTAGCATTCGGCCGATTATGACATATGCATCTCCTGCCTGGGCCTACGACTTACCGGCAATAACGTTCTCGCTTCAAGTGGGACATAAGAAGTATGACATAAGGTAGACTGTAAATAGAAGTGAAAAGGGAAGGAAACTAATAACTTCCTATTAGTTTTTTTTTGCTATAATAAAAATCTATTTTATTTAAAGAATTTTAAAAAGGTTAGATGCTGAAAGTAAAACAGGGAAATAAAGGCTTAAATTAGATTTTGAAAAATATTACCAATACTATAAAGCTTAAAAACATTTAAAATCTGAAAATACTGAGGTTACAAAGATTTTTTTAATAAAAGTAGGCCAACAACCTGAATATCGCAAAGAAATTTGGTTTATTTTAAGTCTGTTCTCAATATTCTATTAAATTAGATTTTCTACTACTAAAGTGTATATTTAAAGGTTATGCTCCGCACAGAATGTTCAACTAATTATTAAATGCATTTTTCTTGTGGTTGGTAAGCCGCAATAATATCTGTTGAGGTAATAAATAGAATTTAAATATTTATTTTAATAACTGCTGGGTTTTAAAGCTTTTAGAATGCAAAAGTGGTATACTTTTACTTTCTTTTACGTCATTCAGTTTCTGTATTATATTCTTTTGTGTACAGGTTTTAAATTAACAGTGAGTTACGTTTTTGTGATACTCACCTAGCAGGCCTGTAACATCTTTTCCGAAGAGATTTACCGCTTGTTCTTTCATATCTCAATTTTGATAAGTAATTTTATTTTTTAAAAAATATTTACAGCTTTTACTACTAGCTAGATAGTTGCCTTTACCTTATATAATTTTCAACTAAAAATAAATGATCCAGCATTTAGTAATTTATAAGCTCAATTACTAATAGTTTTAGTGAATATAAATGTTCTAGAATGTGCATATTCAGATTTTGACAGCTTCTTCGAAGAGTAAAAAAAAGAATGAACTTACGAGGAGTAGCGTCTATTTCATATTGGATAGACGAGGCCAGAAAGCCAAATTAATGACAAATTCTGCCATTTGTACAAGTTCAGTGCTTATATCAACTTGCTCTAAATAGATGACTTTAGAGTAGTCACCTTCATATTCGTACTAAACAAATTAATTGGGCTCTAAACATATTTTTACAAAACTTTTTCAATTAAAAGATAAAGTTTACATAATAAAAGCGTATGCACCATCCAAGTAATTATTTTTATGATCTAGTTATACCCTATACACAAATATAGTTGGTTACAACCTGACAATTATAAAGTTCTATTCGGTTAGCTTTATAATATAACTAGGGAAAAAAATTGTTAACTGTGTTTTTTGGTTTTAAATATTTATAATTGTTGTTTTATGCAATAAAGTGGCTAGAAGAGATTAATTACAGAGCTGCTGAAAAAGTAAAATGTCATTAATAAGAAAATATTGAGTCCTCTAATAACTCTAAGAACTCGCAGCCTGAAGAGATTGCTAACAAATATATTTAGCAAATTTTGACTAGTCAACCTCTAGAGGAGAAAAATCAACTCTAAAGAGACCACCAACTTAATTTTACTACACACTTTTTAATCATTCCTTTGCTTATGTTAAATGAAATTTCTTACAAACCAATGAAAAGAGTTTATTAACTTCAACTAAAATTAATGCAAAAGTAAAAACAATAAGTATTAAATTGCAAGGAGAATCCAGAAAGTTGTGCGAGTGAGATTATGTTTCTTTTAATTTATGCATCCGTAATTAAGATAATCTTTTTTTTCCTGTACTATTATAAATCTGCCTTTTTTTTTTGTTTTTCGAAAATTTGTATTTTTTTAGTACGAGAAGGCCCCGAGAGTGCAGAATTATTGTATAAGCAATCCAAAAGTGTAAATTTTTTAAACTATTAAGAAATTTCTACACAAACTTTTTCAATGCTTTAATATTTATAAAACTAAAAAAAAAATTAAAGGCTGCACAAATATTCCAGCCTTTCCTTTTCATGCAGTTTCTGGTAGATCTCTTCTAGCTTTCCTTCACAAGTAAAAAAAAGTTTACAGTAGTACAACATAAGTAGACAAAAAAACGATGAATTGTTCTAAATATTAAAATTAACCATTTTCAAGGGCATCCCGGAGCGTTATAGAAAAGTTTACTCGGTGATCACAGAGACGGTCATGTTGAAAATTATAAGTTCTGACCTTCTCGTTTCTTTCGCCTTGCCCAACCTAAAATAAGAATTAACATTTTTAATAACTTTTATATATTAAAAAAATAAAAAATTGAATAATCTAGCAAATTATTATTAAATTTAAGAAACTTTACGGTTAAACTATGATAACGAAAATTTTCAACTTAAAAAAATTAAAAGAGAAAAAAATTATGCCTACGAGGTTTTATAAATGAATAAAATACAAAATATAAATTAAGTTTTTAAAATTCCAATATTAAGGAAATTTTTATTTGATTTAAAAGCTCTGAATCAATAGCGCTTTTTATTAAATTAAATAATAAAATTTAGTGAATATAAAGTTCGCTTATAGCAACTAAAACTTTTTAAACTTTTAATTGTAAATAAACTGAAAATAAGCAAAAAATATTAAAAATTATTATTTAAAAGATGAGTGAAAAAGCAAAAATTTTAAAAAATTATATTAAACAAATTAAAGAGGTGGTACACCAAAAAAAAAAAATTAAAAATAACTAGATCTAAAAGTATACAGCAAAACGAAGAATAAGTAAATATTTAAATTAACTTCAAATGCGTATAAACATGTGAACTACATTTATTGCAAATTTAATTAAAATTTTTTAACTTCCGTACTATTTAATATAATTTTATATATTTATTAAAAATATAATTAAATTTCTAGTTTAACATTAAGTAAATCTTTCAGTTAAATATTCTTATAAGGTAATATTTTCTAGTAAGTTTCGTAATAATTTATATATATATATATTTCCCCCTGAACTCCTTGTTTAATTTAGTGACTCCGAACAAAATAATACTTCGAATGAAGCAAAAAAGTTAAAAAACTTTTCCTTCAATTTTAATCACAGAAATTAATTGTTTTTAAAAAATAATCCAAGCTTAATAAAATGGGAGGTGCGTCGCCCAAAAGAAATTTATACTTTTTAAATAAAAATTATTTTAAGTAAATTAATTACTTGGCTCTTATAAAGTTGAGATCTTTCTTTTCGAATTCTTTCCTGCTCCTGTTGATAAAGTCGCAGACGAAGAACTTTCAAAGCAGATTCCTTATTCTAGTAAAAATAATATATTAATTAATGAATCTAAAAAATATATATCATAAGTCAACTTAATTTACGCAGTAAAAAGTAAAACTTAATAAATTTTAATTATAATAATATAAAAAAATAAAATATAAATTTTTAGTTTAAGTATAAAGTGTATATATATTTTTAAAATAATAATTACTAAATTCTGCGAGCGTTCATCCTGGCATTGTACTACCAATCCGGTAGGGAGATGCGTTATGCGAACGGCACTTTTATATTAAAATTAATAAATTTATTATGTTTAAGTAATTAAAAATATTATTTTAGGTATTTTATAATATTTCTAGAAAAAGTAAAAAGGAAACAGAAAAGTAATCAAAATTGGTTCATAATTACTAGTTGAAAATTTAGTTAGTAATATTAAAAGATCTTTAGGTATTCCTCTAGAATTAAAACCTCATAAATTAAACCTTTTAACTTTATCACGTAATATAAAATAATCTTTCAAAACTTTTATAAAAATTCTATCAACAAACTTTTTAACATAAAGCTAACAAAATTTTATTAAAGTTCATAAACAAAAAAAATTCAGATTTCGAATTCTAAAAATCATTATTAATAAAATATATAAAATTTTAAATTTTCTTAAAAAATTAAAGTTAATATGATAATTATAAAAACTTTCCTTATCATAACGTTAACTACTACAAAGATAAATAATATACTAACTAGTACTACTATCTTGCTAATGTTTATTATTATTAACCAGATTTACTACATATTTATAATAATAATAATAATAATAATAAATGCGAAAGTTATATAACAATAATAATATTGAAAGCATCAACTTTTTACTTGCCTATCAGTAGTGTTAACGGCCTGCCCGCCAGGTCCGGACGCTTTAAATGTGTCAATTCTTAAATCTTTTTTATTAAGTTCAATGTGAATCTTAAAAATAAATAAATAAATAGTAACAAAGTTTTCTAGAATCTTAAAATCTCTTAATTTAAAAAGTCTACTCAAACTTTTATTAAAAAAAAAATTAAAATATTTATAAAGCATTTTTATTTTGTTTATAGTAGAACTGTTTCTTCAACTCCTTATTTATTTTTATTGCTTTCAATCTAAATAAACAATATTACACGTTAAAAAAAAAATTAAAATTATTACTTAAAATTTTAGAGTCAACTTTGTTCTCTATAATTTTTAATTAATTAATTTCCAATTTAAATAAAAATAGACGCTCTTTAAAAAGATTATTTACCGATTCGTTTTCTGGAACCAGCGCAACAGTAACAGTAGAAGTGTGCATACGCCCTTGCCTATCTATTTTTTAAAATAATTATAAAAAAATAAAAAAAAGTAATAAAAATCAACTAACAAATGTTTTTTAAAAAAAGATTTTAGAATTTATAAATATATGATATAATAATAATAACCAGGAAATTTTAAAATAAGTTTAAAAAAAATTAATACTTGAAAATTAAAATATATTTAAAAATTTCTACGTTAACGATAATCAATAGTAATAATCTTCCTGTGGTGGGGACGCGCTGAACCCGATGGACTCCTGCTTCGTACTTAAATGATCCAAATGCGTTGTATCCCGCAACGTGAAGCGTTAAATCCTCAGAAAAATTAAATATTGAATAAAATCAATAAAACAATTTATAATTTAAAAAAAAATTAAATAAAAATTTTAATAGTTATTAAATATAGTTGGCATTTATAAAAATTTAAAAAGATCAACTTTAACTTAAATAGCAAAAACAGTGTAGTATATAGTATATAGAAATAATTGAAGATTCAAAATTCAAATAGAATTAAATTAAACTTTCTTTATAACAATGATACTTGAAGTGATAATAAACAGAACAAAAATAGTGTAAAAGATCACATAAAGATTATTTTTCAAACATTACCGATTATAAAGAAGTAAAAAAATAATATATAATTTTATAAATAATTTAAAAATTTATATATACACTAACAAAAGTAGTAAATGGAGTAACAATGTAAGAAAAAAAGTACCACTAGTAATCATAAGTTAAAAAGTTTAAAAAAAAAAGTTAAATAATACTCGATAGCCGCCATGCAGCGAGGGAGTGGAATTTAGAACTTTCAAATTTAAATTTTTTCTTGAACAATAATTTTCATAAAAAGTACACAAGTCGCCAACGAAAATAGCCGCTTCAGAGCCACCAGCAGCTGTAAATTTTAATAAAGACTTTATTAATAAGGACAACACAATTAAATTTTTATAAACAAAAAAAAAATTAAAAAAAAGCGAAAATTATTAGCGGAAACGTTTTATAATAATTAAGTGGAGAGAATACCTTGAATTAAAGAAATACAAAAAAAGTAAATTAAAAAAAATTAAAAAAAATGGGATCCTTTAATCTCGATAAATAAGTACCAGCCCGAATCTCCATCACTACTTTAGTGCTGTCCACTTGCATTGGAGGAATTAACAAGCGGTAAAGCCCCTCTTTCAGTTTTTCGCTTTTCTTTTGTAAGCAAATTTTCTCCTCTTCAAGTTCTCTATTAAAAATAACAGGAAAAATAAATATCAAGTACAAAAGTTATACTTGAAATAATTTCCAAAATCTTAGTTTAATAATATACTAGTTTCCCTTGAATAAAATTCTGAAAATAATCCTCGCTTACTGTTTGTTTATAAAAAAACTTGATAAGAAGTTTTAGATTATATTAAGGAACATGCCCACCCAACTTTATTACTTTACTTGAAATCTATAAAAGTACTAAAATAAAAATATTTTAACTTTAAAAAATCTACATGCCCGGATGCTTCTTTTTTTAAAATTTCAATTTCATGTATAGTTTTACTGACCCCTTCAATTTCAACTTGAGCTTCATAAATCTTTTATGAAAAGACTATAAAAAAAAAAGCCCTTATAGATAATACTAAAATTTTGTACCGAATTCAAAAAGTCCAAGTTTTTGCGTGCTTCTAAAAATTCATCACAATATTTATCCTAAAATAAAACCTTCAGTTCACAATAATATGGTATTATTAGAATAATAAGTTAATATTTCCAGTACCACTATTAAAATTATTTTACGCTAAACTAAGTATTATTATTTATAATAACATTTAAAAAATACATAAAGGCTTAAATACCTTAAAGTTCCCTAGTTTATGTAAAAGATCTTCTCTTCTTTTCTTTAAACGCTCCATATGTTCAGTTAAGAACGGTATACGTACAGTAGAAATTTCTTTTGCGCTTAAGCAGATAAATTGTGTTTTGCATAACTTATTCGAAATATGAAAAAGACCCAATTTAGTGCTAAGAAAAGCGAAAGAGTTGCAAGTTCTAAACAATTTTGCATTATTTTTTACTTTAAAAAAACTATTAAATCTAGATTTATACATCATTTAAGAAAGAATATTAACATTTAAAAGCGCAGCGCTCTGTAGATCAGGCACCACGTCGAATGTTAGTGGGCAGTCATGCGGTCGTTCGGCTAGACTTGTGCAGCACGTACTAAATATTTGTTAAAATAGTCTCTAGTAAATTCTGCGCGCTTAATAATTAATAGTGGGAGCTGAACAGGACATAATATAGAGAGTATATATATTTTTCCAAATAATATTAAAACTTAACTTCATTAGATTAATATACATTTAAGAACAATGCTGCCCCAAAATTGTAAATGACTTCTGTTTAAATCAATCTAATTTTGTTTAAGATATTAAAATAACAAATATATCGTCAATAAACTAACAAGTTTTTTATAACCCCGGAAAAGTAGAGAAGTAAAACCAATTCCTTTAGGATTTGATACCTGTTTGGAATTTACCGTTGTTGTGGGAAAACTACTGTTCTCTAAATTTAAAAAACACTGAAACAGGCCGCTTTAATTATACAAGAAGTTTAAGCAATTTATTTGTGCAAAATGTATTCATTCCTTTAATTGAAAGATATTGTCATAGGCGCCAATTGCCCTCTTCCGTTTCCATTGAAAGTTTTTTAACCTAAAACCATGAAAGATCCTCTAAGTAGAAAGTAGTCTTTGTAAAATCTAAGTAAAAGGTTTATTAACTTATAGCGACATAAGATATGTAATAACTTAAAGCTATTTTTAAACAAACAATTTATTTGAATCTATAAAAGTTCCAAGAGATCATTTAAAAAGAGCTAAGCTTATACTTTTAGCACAAAAGGGGTATCTGTACGAAGACCTTTAAAAAACACGCTTTTTAATATAGTTTAAGTTGCCATGTAAAATAAAAAATCTTTTAATAATTTTACACAATTTAGCAGTTAAGATTAATCGCGCAGTGCATTTGTCTATTTGCTTTAATTCTTTTTTTTTTTTTTGTTAAACATATTAACCTTTACTGATTTTGAGCTCCTAGCATTTTAAGGTTTTTTAAATAGTATGAGCTTTTTAAAAATTAAAGTGGAAAAAAGCAGTGAATACAGAATGTGTTATCCCAGGAGTGCCACTATAGAAGGTAGTGGCTAAAAAGCGTAAATATTTGCATACTTAAGGTTGAAATAAATGTATGAAGAAATTTTAGTAGACAAACTAATATACATAACACCATAATTAGGCCGTCCCCCACGCCACAATACGCTCCAGCAGAAAAATAAATTCCCTCCTACGGGCGTGTGCTATCTCTATTTATATCCATATGCTACGTTTCGAAAGCACGTGGCTAACATATGAACCAATTACTAAATTAGAGTTAGTTGGTGATGTATAGCTTTTAAATAAAAAGGTTTACAATGAAAGTTAGGATCATCACAGGCTATTAAGTACATCAGGCATACTCTCACACCCTTAGCTTTAAAATAATCGTTAAAATGTAGCAATTACACATATATTTATGGGTATAACTTTTGGAAAAAAAGATACAAGGATATATCCAACTTCGCTATATCGAGGAAAAGCCTTTTTCCTATAGCTATATAGTTTAATAGTATTAAGCAGTAAAAAACTACGTAAAAACAAATTAAGTCAACAAAAAAGTGAAGCAAAAGGTTAAAGCTTGTGTGAGAGGTTAAACAGTTACTTAGAGACAAAATATTTTTATATTTTACACAGCCTATGCCTCCTGGACCAGGTAATTTTAAAACCTTGACTCTTAAGGACTCTTAATTAAATGCTGGTCTTTTTTAAACTAAGCATTAAAATTTAAATACAAAATCAAGTAAAAAAAATTAAATTTATAATATTTTTGGTGAAGTTCGACATAGTTTTATTTTGGATTTCTTAAAGGGAGGTAGGCGAAAGGGAACAGAGCGTAGCTAAAGTGTATACGATATATACAATGCACATTGCCTATAATGCTTTATGACAAACATAAGTAATACAAAGTTTCCAATATGCCGACAATAACTAATTTCTTTTTCGCAACTAAGAATAAAAATAACCCGAAAATATGTTAAGTGGGATTATGTACATGATTGGCATAGCCTTACATACAAATTTGTTTGAATGAATGAAAAATTAAAGCAAGCTAAAGTCAAGTGTTGGAAGAGCTTATTTTATATAAGCAAACACAACGATTCCTTTTTTTAAAAATTTAACTATATAATCGTAGCCGGTTATCCGAGGAAGCTTTTACCCTTTTCCTCAAATTTAAGTTTATTGTGCTATAATTTTTTTATTGTTAATTTAAAAAAAAATTTCCTGGGCTGACAGGCACAGTCTTTAATATTTCGTAGTAGCACTTATCTTATTTAAATATACTAACATATAATATGATAATTTTGTAGCCACCTCAGAATGAGATTAGCGTTAAAAAAATTGTAGGACGAAACGTAATATGCTGGCACGATACACCAGTTACAAAGTTCGACACCACTACATAATAGCACTATACGGTGAACGTTCTGTAAGGTTACAAAGAAATCGTCAGTAATTTCGCACGTGCGTCTTGGTGTTTATATTGTACTTTGGCTCTACTTATATTAAATCTGATTACTACCTGATGAATACTGCTGAACCAGTTATTAGTGAAGAGGAAAAAAAGGCCAGCCGGCTACCGTGTAGGGCTTGCACTTCTTTTAAAAACTGGTCTGCCCTTGTAATGGTTACCATTAAACGAAGAAGACAATTTATTTTTTTAAAATTTAATTTATGCTAGTTTGGAACTTTGTCAAATTATTTATCCAATAATAACTTTTATTACCAGAAAAACGAGTTTTTTACTGATAAAAAACTGAAAGAACCCCAAAATAATATTAAAAAGAATATTGAAAATACAAATTTTATTGACTGTCCAGCTGACAGTGATAAACTTGGAAGACATTCGTGGACTCTTTTACATACTATAGCCTCTTATTAGTAATATTATCAATTAATTTTTTATATTATAATTGTTACTATTATCATTTAGCCCAGAAAAACCCTCCGGACGCCAGAAAGTTGCTCTACAGCAGTTAATGAACTCGCTGTCGTTTTTATATCCCTGTGAGCACTGCGCTGCTCATCTTCGCTTGTATATGGTGAGTTCTAGTTTTTTCCAACTTGATAAATTTATTTTAATTAGTACTTTAATAGAAAGCTAATCCTCTAAATATTAAAAGTCAAGAAGAATTTTCTTTATGGTTATGCCAATTTCACAACGAAGTCAACAATAATTTAGGTGATTTATTATTAGATTATTTCTACTTTCATAAATTTTTTTTTACAAGGAAAAGAAAAATTTGATTGCACGAAAGTCCACGAAAGATGGCGAGATGGATGGAAGGATGGAAGTTGCAACTAAAAGACTTTCTTCAATGAAAGTTCTCACGTTCAGTTATCTTTAGAATTTAAACTTTTACTTTAGAAAAACTTGAAGTTTATATATAAAACTTTCTATATAAAGCTAAGTAAAAAAAAAAAAACACTTATGAGTGTACGTTAAACTTTATTTACTCGTATTGCTGAGTATGAGGCCTCATTATTTCCTTGGATATTTTTATGTGAACGTTATAATTCTTACCTATTTTTAAATGATAAAGCAATAAAGAGTTGTAAATGTTCTATAGCAAGTAACTTAGTTACCTTCATTGTTATCCCAATATTCTCGACCGTTAACTTTATAACATACGCAGAAACTTATGTTTTCATGTTTTTTAATCTCTTTAATGAGACTAATTTCACCTTTCACTGGAAAATAAGTTACGATATATAAATAGAGAAAAGTAGAGGGAGTTGAAACTCACGTTTTTTTTTAATTTCGCGGAAGGGGTTAAAGCAAAATACAAATATATCGGTTGTTTCATTTATACTCCTTTAAAAATAAAGTTATTAAAAAAAAACCGAGTTAACTAAAATTTACATTTCGTAAAAGCAACTTTTGTTTGCTATTGCCTTCCAGTCATTTATCGAGAAACGAATAAAAACTTTTTTCTCGAAACCCAAGTTACGAACTTTAACAATGCCTTGTGTTAAAATTAATTATTAGTCAAAATGAAAAATAATGTTACGGCGGAAACCTGATAGGCAAGGAAATACACATGAAATAGCAACCATATAAACTTCGGAAACATTTTGAACAGATTTTGACTCCAGAAAACGTATAGAGGCAGGAGAGACAGCAGAAAGGCAACAGAAGTTTTCTGTTTCAAACAGAAAAGGCTGAAAGTAACTTCCTTTAGGTAAGTATTGTTCTAGACTTTTTAAAACATGAAAGTTTGTGGGTATACTAAAAAAAAAGGTAGTACGCTTCTGGTTCGCTTTCAAAAGGATCGGCTTTGCAGAATTCACGAACGAAAACAACCTCTTTAAATCGAACACTTTTTTTTTTTAATTTATTAAATTCTTCATTATCCTATTAATTGTAAGAAATATTAAAAAAAAACTTGTTAAGATGGTTTACCCTTTCTCCATTTAAGCCAGGCGTTGGACAAATGTCTAGTTTATCTTTACCAATTGTTTTTTTCATACTCCAAAACCTTTTTTTTTTCTATTTAATTAGGGTAAACCCTACAAACTAAAAAACTTATATCAAACGATAGGTTAACAATAGTTAAAAGATGACCAAAGAAATCTGGAAATGTTTTTAAAAACAAATATTCCTTTAACAAAGCTGGCCACATCGTAGTTTTATCCTTTCCTAAAATCCACACCATACTAAACTTTATGCCAATGAAGAAAAAGATATCTCGTTGAAAATAAATTTTATCAAAAAATAAATATTACGTCACCTTTCCAAAGTATAAAAACGCTGCTTTTGATCCAGCGTGACCATAGCTAAGAGTTCTCCCAGGGGTGGTGAGCGTGAGGTGACTGAAGCCCTCAAGCTCTGCAGCTTTTTACTGTTTCTTTTATATGCCACGTTCGTTACAGTGTTTCAAAAGCGTGTATACCCTATAAGATGTCGGCGCTCAACTTGACTGTAAAATGTCTATTGTTTGACTAAAAAAGAAACAAACGAGGTAAATTATTTTTGGAAGCGCTCGTACATAAAATATGAAAAAATTACTTAAAGGATAGGCCAACTATAAAAGCTATTTTACCTACTGCTACAGTCATAGCGAATCTTAACGAAAAGCTCTTAGACGAGTTTTTACTTTAACTTGCTCACAGATGTGAGCTAAAGTCATCGTTTAAATGTAAAGGAAGCAGAGCGCAAGTAATATCCTCCTAGTAATACGATGGTTTATAACAAGTACTTGTGTCCCGGTTAAACATGCAATAACTATTGATAAGGAAATACTAAATAGAAGTGAGCTACCATACCGTAAAACATTTTAACTTTGCAACGATTTTTTTTGAATACAATATATACATGATTTTGAAAACTAGAAGTCAACAACAAAATAAAGGAGGACAGGCTGCGAGTTTATAGTAACAGCCAAATTTAACCGTAAAAAAACGACGCGAATTCTCTAAGTCAAAACCAACAGTTGTACATGAAAGAGCTACAAAAAAATTGATAACACGTATTAGAAAGCAAAAATTTGCGGTTACTCCCACTTTAAAGATTGTAAAGGCAGAGCACAACACTACTATTTAGTAATGAAGTTGGGGCTATTAAAAGTATATATATAGTTTTTTCTTCTATAAGAAGAGAAATTAAAATAAAATCGCAAAAAACGTTAAAAACTTTCCTTAAAATAGCTAAATAGAAACGAAAAAAATTTATGCCCTTCTATAGAAATTGAATTTTCAAACATCCCAATTAAGGAGTTGGCGATTCGCCCTTTAGTAGCAATTAAATTTAAAAAATTACTAGCTGAGCAATCAGATTAAGTTAAATTCAAGATTGAGCACGTGAGCTCAAAAAAAACTTTTGGTTTAGATTTAATATGAATTTGACGTGTCTACTAAGCAGTTAGTGTGAGCTTAAAAAAAAACTTTGTTTAGATATAATGAATTTAACGTGTCTACTAAGCAGTTAGGCCTAATAATTAATTATTATTAATGGTTAATGGTGTTTCCCGGGGCCTGATCAAGTTAACAAACACCACATTCCTAAACTCACGATCAGGTTAACAGCGTACAAAATAAAGTTTTAACCTAAATAAAATATCTTTTTATTAAACTTCTAACCTTACTACAAAAAACTCATAGTGCGCGCGCCGTCTCAAGGATGGAAAGTTAGTTTTCTTTAAATACCCTGTTAGTATGTTTAGCAACACAACATAGAGTCCAATATCAGAATCCAGTGGCTATAACTTAATTTAAGGCAAAGCATTAGCCTGCTTTAACGCGCGCCTGTCATGACGCGAAGCGGCTTGTTATGGCTTACTTGAAGTGATGGCGCAAATACCGGTAAGTAGTGGCTTAAGGGCAGACACATATCGCTTTATATACCGCGAGAGAATTTGACAATAAATGTTACAATCAGTACCGTAAGTAATTTTCTTTAATTATTTTAATTTATTAAAATCAATAATTATTAGAAAAAAAAGTTGAGTGGTAGTTACTAATTTTGATTAGTCGTTCAAATACGGGTTTTTATTATATACCTTAGATTTCTTAAAATAGAATTTGACACTTTTATTCTATTTTTATTTATAGTACCATATTAGTATCTACAATCCAGAAAAATAATTATTTTAATTTATTAAAATCAATAATTTTTAGAAAAAGAAGTTGAGTGGTATTACTAATTTTGATTAGTTGTTCAAATACGGGTTCTTATTATATACCTCAGATTTCTTACAATAAAACTTGACACTCACTTTTATTCTATTTTTATTTATAGTACCATATTAGTAACTACAATCCAGAAAAGTCTAAGTTTCTATTTTAAATTTTGTGCTACGTGTATAAAAAAGAGGGTACAATACTTTGGTCACTGTCTTCACCTTAGCCCCAAAATAATCAACGTGCGGCCGCCATCACAGCTTATTGTCGTTGGTGGCTCCCTAATATTTTGCCTAAGAACATCATAATTTTACAGCACACAAGATCAGAGACAGTGGCAATAAAGTGACTTTATAACAGAATGATAACCAAGATATATTATACCGGAATTGAGAAATGTCGTTATAGCTCTGAGGTTAAGAGCATTGAAGCGCTTACTCAAAGAAGTAGGTTCCAGTCCCATTAGCGCAACTCTCTTTTTCGGTCTTTAATGACTACGTATTATACCTCGCCTTTGTAAATTTAAAAAAAATTTTCGTATTAGAGAGAGCATTGCTTTTCACCACGTTTTCCCCATTGACGACATCAGTCCACAAGCGTGGCTAGGTACCTCTACAGATACTAGCGAGCAAGGCCAGGGTTCCTGGTTAAGACAAGTTGCACACATTAGTGCGAGAGGTAGGTGCGGTGCCTGGGAGCGAACGGTGTGTTGGGTTTACCCTAATAACGGATTAATCGCCCCCCACTGGGGTACGCCCTTTTTTGGAGTTTGGTTCATTTCGACACCGTGCATCGCCTATACCTGAGCTAAAAAAGGATCTTATCACTTGAGCACACCAAAGAGGACACGGGGAAGTATTATAATGCGCAATATATAAAGCAAATTCTACTGTCAAACTCGATATATTGCTTCTTTAACATCAAGAGTCATCTAATGGTAAATGTTGTTAATAAACCTTCAGGTAAAGCACTATATTAACCAGCTTTGGACAACTCGCGACCCGTGAATAAACCTTGGTGAAACGGTAACGCAAGAATTGACAAACACTTTTAAAGGCGAAAAGCGACTTCAGTTATCTTGTCAGTTTGCTTTCAAAGAGGTTGAGGGTTTTTATGTTATAGCGTAGAAGCTGTTTAGTGGTCTTCAACAGCAGCACGATAGTGGCCGTCTTCAGTAAAAACAAAAAATGCCGAGGGGCATCGTCGAGTTTACAGAATAGCAGATTGCTTTATCGCCTCCAACGCTACATTAAAATGCCTTCTGAGCTTGGTGTCTTTCCTCTCTAAAGCTTTGACAATCTACAAATGCCGATAACAGATGACCAACCTTAAACAGCATATAAACGTCAGCTAAGAAAAGTGACCTGAAAAACGGTACAAGAGGCGAAATCCCTTAAAATTAGTGAAGCCACACTCACGTGCTCTATAATATTTAACGTGTTCTCCCTTCCCACCTTCTTTGCCCCTTTTTTTGACCCTTGGTGGTGCACTTCGGCTACTTCCATATTTATGAAAGAATTTTTTTTATTTAATGTAAAAATAATTATTGTAATAAATATATATGATAAATGAAATAAAAAAAATGGGATGGATCCGTTTTTTACGTGCTAGCAGTGGCATACTAGATGTTAATATGCCCCTCGAGATGGTTAATATGTACTTCCGCCTTTTTAGATTACTCCTTTATTATCTTTTTTATACTTGTTGTTTTCCCACGTAAGAACAATGATGAAACTATGGCGCCTTTATCGACTTAAACTTCCTACTAATTTTAAGTTTAATATTTTTTGCTTTTTCACAGCTACTCAAACGAGAACTTGCACGTATCCTGTTGAATTCTTCTTGTCCGAATATGATTTCAATGTAAAAGCGTGCAAACATAAAAAGTGTGTATAGTTGCCTTTGCGTTTACAAGTTTAAACTGCAGGGGAAAGGCGACACTTACAAATTCTTTAACAGAATTTTTTATTTTCGCTTAAGTTGCTGTGAAAAGCTTGTTACAAAAGAAATTTTTTTTTACATATGGAGGTATTATTGTGCTGACTTAGTATTCCTTAGTAAACTGAGTTTTTTCGTGGGATTTTTTTTTAACAATTATTTTTATATACTAAATTTTATTTTAAAAACAAACACATTCTAGTGGAGTGGAAGTCATGATAACTACCCTTGAGAGCATAATATTGAATAAAAATTTTATTATGTAAAGTTTACAGCACGATAAAATCTTCATAGCTTTGTTTTTTTTTAAGTGTACGTAATTTTAAATAGTTAAACTTTTCCCGATGTTTTGAGCAAAATTTTTTATGATTTTGTTATGTTCCCGTTGCGTTATTGGTTCCATTGCTCGTTTAAGTTCTCTTCTCCACATTTCGTGGTTATTATCATTGATATCGTTGGTCGCCTATAGAGCATAAGTTTTATTTAATCAGTCATATGCACATGTACATTTTACCCAGTGAAGAAATCCCCTCTTTCTTATCTCTGCTCTTTGCTCTTTGAAAGTCTATTTATATATAATAACAAACTTAGGAAGCATGTAAAAACTTATAGGTCATTTTCAAGGTAGAATAAAATTAATAAATAAAGTTAAAAGAAAATTAGCGAGCTTTTTAGACTTAAAGACAGTGCGCACGTTTAAGTTTCTTTCAAGTTTACTGCTTTAATGTTGCACAATAATTTTTTTAAAAAAATTTTCTTATAGACGCGTAAAAGTCATTTTATTGAAAAAATTAACTATAGTTTCTATCAAAGTAGAAGTGTTCAGTTTTTTTTTTACTGTTTTCTTAAAATGGGAGCCATTATTAAGTACCGAGCACTCTAAAAAAAGAACTAAAAAAACTTAAAATTTGCAGTACTTGTAAAACAGATTAAAGTTGTTACCTATTTCCTATGTGCATAATGTTTTGGTTTTATAAGAGATTTAAAAATAAATATATAATATTATAATCCTACGAGTTAATAAAAAAGACAAATTTTTTAAACGCTAATGAGATAATTTAACTCGTTATTTAAATTTTAAATGATCGAATAAAATATTATTTTGAACATAAATATAAGGATGGTTGACTACTTTGTGGTGAATTCCTAAGTACATTACAGCAAAATTTAAAATTTATTAGTAAAGATTATAACGATACTCTTATAAGCTTAAGATAAACGGTGTGATCTTTGGTTTCATAGTATAGCTTTAATAAGACCGACAAGGGGCCCGAAGTTGCGTGGCTCACTCCTTTTATAGCAAATAAAACCTTTTAATTCAAATTATAAAAAATTAAATTTACTAGGAGGGAGTAAATAAACACGCGAACCAGTTTAGCAGTTTGTAAATTTTTATTCTTCACAAATGCATCGACGAGCAGTACAGAAGTTTTTATAGAAATCGAAAAGTCTTTTTTAGACGATTCGTCGAAAAGCGACTTCGCCTGAGAAGATTGGTGACGGGTTTTAGGAACGAGGGCTGTTATTGGTGCAAACCTCGACAAGAAGCCCTATTCTCAAATGCGCTTGTATGGCGCTATCATACAGCTTAGAACTACAGCAGTTGTCTTTTAACTTCACAAAGCTCTTAGATTTAAAAAGATATATAGATTTTATTTTTTTAATACAAATCACAAAAAATTATAAGATGCACCATAAGCAGCTTGAGCTCCCTTTCATTACTCACTTTATCAAAAAATAAAGAGAAAATAACTTCATCTCCTGGAAGCCCATAGGAGTTCATCAGCGTCAAGAATTTAAATAACTCGTTAAACTAGTACGTAACAACTCAACTTGTGGTAAAAGTTAAATAGTAAAAGTTATACAGAACACGTGTGGCGCATTTTGGAGAGAATGATGTAAAAAGTTGACGCAAGGGGAGGACAGAAGCAAATTTCCATTATACTGAGCAGCTTCAGTACGGCCTAATAACAATTATAAAAGGAAGTAATTAGCTTTGAAACTAACATATTACTCAAGTTTATTATATAATTCGCTGAAGTAACATTTTTCATATAAAACAAAGACCAGAAGTAAAAAATGATAGACCTCTTTATCCATCTTGAAAGAAAAGTAATAAACTGCATTAGTGAAAAAAGTGCGGAGGCCTAATAAGACGGGAAGTTAAAAGTTAATTAGCAACTAGAAGAGTTGTTTGTATTTTAGAACTTACTTTTCTGGTAAGCTTTTATGCTTTTCTCCTTCATTCTAGTCTGTTATAATAAAAAATCAATAAATTGAAATAGTAAAATCCTTATTAAAATTAATCTAGTTGGTTAATGCGTAACATAAGCTTGAAAGACGAATCAACTAAAGAAAATTTTACACAAATTCAAGAATAAATGATATTATATACATATTTAGCTATAAACAGTGCACATTAGCTTATTATCCAAATAAAATTAATTAAAAACCCAAAAACTTCCAATTTGAAAAGAAAAGGAGTAAAAATATAAGTCTAGGAGTTTTTTTTAAAAAAATATATAATACTTCGAGAGTACTAATAATTTCCCAAACGATTGTTTCCTGATCGTGTTTGATGTAGATCTACGTAAAATTAAACTTTATGAGAGATATTTTTAAAACCTAAATTAATAACATTAAGTATGTGAAGGAAAGTCCACGAGTCAAACACAATGCTATAACGGCCAAAGATATCTCTTATGAGTAAAAGATATTCTTGAATCTGATGGGATTCCCTATTATACTAATCAGAACTTATAAAAGAAATATATAAAAACTATACAAGGGAGGGTCCTTGAGTAAAATGTGTAGCAACGGCGCCGTCGGTTTGATTTTTAAAAGTTCTAAAACTTGAAAAACAAAAAAAAGGAGTTCCCGTGAAAAAAAGGACTTCGAGCCCACTAATATTAATAGCAATGTCTTTGCCGTACTTGCAGCAAATATTTTTTCAGTTACCACATACTGTAGTGTCTAAAGTTAGCAATACAAAGTAGCATATGAGCGCTTGAAATTATGTCAAAAAATGTAAAAATGACTTTTTGGAAGCTTCTCCCATCGCCGACTTTCGCATAGTACTGCAAAAGACAGTTATAAGTAGGAACGTTTAGACTATAAGAAAATCTTTTCCGAAGAGTTTCAAAGCCTTCAAAAGCTCCTAACTTGATTTAAAGTAAAGTAACCTTGGAAATAATACATTTATAACAACTTGACTTTTAAATAACTTTGTAGAGCTGTATTATAAAGCATATGATCTACTTCATTTTTATATTTAGTTGCAAACGCTTCAAAAGCCCGGTTCAACCATAATACCTTGTCCTATTAAAAAACAGTTTTAATAAGTTTTGAGACAAAAATTAATAAGCTTTTCTTGATTAGTATCTTAAGTAAACGTTTATTTTAAATTTTGGAAAACCACCTCGGTACAACAGTTACTTTTTAGTAATCTTGAGAGAAAAGCGCTCAAAATTTTGCAACGATGTTCCGGTGACCGAGGCAACTTATTCGCTAAAATTCTCTTCTTAATTTATCAAAAATAGCCATGGAAAATTTGTATATATAACAATTTATCAAAAGTACCTTCTCTAAAAACAAAAAATCTGTTTTTTTATGGGGTGGTAGCGATGTGTTAAACAAAAGCGCCGTCCCTTTACTATTAATCGTACTATAATCAAAGTGTAATAGCTCTTTACCACGCGCAGGTAAGTAACTAAACAGTTTTCGCTCTAAAAAACTTCTATTAATCGTATAAGAGGAAACACTTGCGGAATTAGCGGCTGGACTACAATTTACTCTTCCCCGATATTTAAATAAAGAGGGCGTAATTAACATTAATAGCACTTAAAACATACATCGCCTCCCTGCAAAATTTCAGTTCGAAATCACACGAGATAAAAGTGTGTATTGGCGTTACCAAGTTTCCAATGACGTAGTGGTTCAGCTAAGACTTTTAAATGTTGTATCAGTTAGCACTACTCCCATATGCTTAAATGTTCTACTAATGACTTATTATTTTGATCATACCTAATTTAGTTCTACTTATATATATCATGAAATATTGATATCAAACCAAGTTTGCTAAAAATTATTAACTTTTATTTTTCATTAAAATTGGTGTTGGTTACGTGAAACCTTATTCAAGAGCTGCTAACTTTCCCACCAATTTAAAAAGTGGACGCTCACCTCAAGGGTGTAGGAAACATCTATTGAGGCATCCTAACAATAGAAAGTCCGGGAGGATTTAATTGACTGGCATGCCTTTCCTTTTCGTCATAATTATTTTATTGTGACAATTTTTATTTCATTATCCAGGTGTTTATAAAAAAGCTAGTTAATTAACTTAAGTATTAGAAACCTCTGACCCTAGCCTTAACCTAACAAGAAACAATTAAAAGAAATTAATAATTTGTAGCGCATTAGCAGCCCGATAAAGTTTATGAGGGCTAACAACCTGTCCCGCCATTTTTTAAGGAGCGTAACTAATTTTTAATTGCTTTTATTTTGTAAAAATGCTCTAACTTATTCACTAACACATATAAAGTAAGTTAGCTGACTGTAAAAGCTACAACTAGGAAAAATTTATGTTGCTGATTTGACTTTAATTTTTAAACTTTACCGTTAGTTGGCCATATAAATCAAAGCTATAGTAGTTCAATGATTTTCCCCTTTAAACCAATTTAATAACTTTACAATATTTAATGCTTATAGTACTATGGTACATAAATTTCAACTTGGTTATGAACTTTCATGAGCCTAAAATATCTTGCAGTCAATGTTTAAATTTAGCTTCGTATGCCTTCAACGGCTTCTCAAAAAAATTGCCCTATCTTTTTCCTTATAATTATCTGTTTTTATTACGGTATATTTTTGCAAACCATGATGCTACTCTCCCCTTCTCTGGAGCTTTAGAAGTACCAACTATATTAACTCTTTTTTTAAGAATTTTGTAGCTAAATTTCAAAGTTTTTTAAATTCACAGTTTTGATAAGGAAACAGTTGAATCTGCATCAAACGAGAAACTACGTTAAAAGAACACCATATCACGACACAAAAACAATTGTTTTCTCAGCTAATGATTACCTTTTATTTCCGAACCCATTATCTTTTTCAATGTTCTTTATTTGTAATAAAGCTCTCAAATGCATTTAGGTAAATTGGTTTCTATTTTTCTTTTTTGAAGCATTTTTTAATTCCTTAGTGTTAAGGTAGCGTATCCCGTAAAATCATTCCACTTCGAGTAGAACCTGAGATATACAACTTCCCCCTAAAATCTTTCTAGGTTGTCAGTGTTACTAAAATGAGGATAATATTAGAGTCTGAACTCGACCCTTTTTAAAAAAGACCATATGGCTTGGTATGTTCCTTCCGCTGTTAAGTTCTTTTTGGTAGAATTTAGAGGTAATATAGAAAAATAAAAGTTTTTAAATAAAGATAAATAATTAAAAAATAAAATTAAAAAACAATATAAAAACACAGGGAGAGACAAATTAGACTAACCGATGTCATTGTTGTTTATCCTTTTAAGTTTTATATAATTAAATAATTAAAATATCTAGATTAATTTATAAATAATTGTTTTTTGGATATTGAACTAAATCCTTTTTTTTTTAATAAAATGCTTTATATTTTCATTAGTTTAAAATCTTGTTACACCCCGTACTACCCTAATTAAGTTTAAATATTTTGTTTAAAAAAAGTGTCCTGTCTTTGGAAGGAAAGAGGGTTGGTGGAAACATAAGCTATGTTTGTTTCAGACTTAATATGTTTTATATTTTTTTCGCTCTACACAAAGTTTAATTTAATGATATATCAACATTTCCACTTTACAACCTCGCGGTCTGTAATTTGTATTGTAATGGATGCATTTGGGAGAAGTGTTCTTTTAAAATATTTTCTATGGTTGTAGTATTGGTTATAGCGTAACTAAAAGTATATACCCAGCTTCACAAGAAGGCATGTTTGTAGTGCCTCTATAAATTTAGTTTTCCATTGAAATGCGTTTCCGTTTAGAAAAATTTTATAACCCATTGTATTACGATAGTCGTAATTATCTTCCCATGTAGAGTCACAGCAACTTTTTTTTTTTAGAATAACAATTGTTATTAGTTGGAAAATTATCGGTTATGTTTCACATGCTTTGTTTGGTAGAGAGTTAAAGCTCTTTTGGCAGTTTTCATATGTTCTTCGATACTATTTCGTAAAAACCTTCCTAAAATGGTAGTTACAAATGCTATATTCAGCCTTGTGCTGTCTGACATGTTTCTTAGTGAACCAACAAGGTTTTTATATTCTTCATTGCTGTCGACAGTGTTGTTAGGATGTTTAAGATTCGTATATCTAGATATGGGAGTATAAACCTTGGTTTGTGTTTATACCATATTTAACGTGCAAGTTGCTAAACTGTAGAATTTTGGCTAAGGGAAATAAATTAATGATTAATATCAATATCTATTCCTAAAATTTTATCTAATTGAAGTCCTTAATTTCGTATTTTTGGCGGATGTTATCAAAAAATTTGTCAGAGCCTCCCTAATAGTGCAATGCAAATTCATTAACACATTTACCAACAATAGCATCGATTTTCCTAGTAAAATATACATTAATCCAATGCACTTTTCTTATAGCCATTATTTTTGTAATGGTCTAGATAGTTTAAGATAGAAAAGTCTAGATAATTCTTTTAAACCATAGATTGCTACATTTATTTTTAGAACACACTTGACGATTTTATAGTAGTGCCCATCTAGTAATCATTTTTCTTCTAAGCGCAGTAAATTTTTAATTAAATACATGCCTTGAGGCATTAAGTGTACACTAGTTTTTTAAGATAATTTAATCAAGATCATTTTTTGTTTGGTAAAGAGTTAGTCTAAGTTAGTAAAAGATATTTATATAGCTTACTTTATAATTCCAGCTCAATATGTATGCAAAAAAGCAGTTGTTATATCAGCAAGTTATATAGGATTCTGTTTATAATTCGCAATTTTAAGTAGTAAACGAAAGGGCTTTAGATAAAACTGGAGAAAAAATTTCCTACTCTTGTAAATTGAACTTAGGCGACAAGTGTTAACTCTTGTTAAGAGAGTGTACTACAATTGGTTCAAAAATCACATGCTTACATTTTTTTTCCGAAAAAGACTACAGACTCTTGCAAAAAATCACAACAAAAAAAAGCAAAATAATTACGTCTAAGAACATTACGCACTTAAAGTTGTTTACAGCTCTACAGGTGCTCAAATTCTTAAAAGCCTTTTGTAGTGACGTTATGGCACACTGCAACCCACAGAATTTAGCTAATATGATACTAAATTTTTCCTCCTGTATTTAAAAACCTCCATTATATCAATAGCCCATCCAGAGTAAAACATATTTAGCTTGTTTTAAAGATCTATTAAAATTTTAATCAACGGAGGGAAAGCGGAAATATTCAACTGGGAGTTAGAACAAAAAGTAAAGTTGGATTCAAGCTAATAAATATATCAGCAAAAGAAGAAAAAATGCTGGTATAGTTATAAAAAAAAGCTGACCTAAACGAGCAAAAATTATAAATTAAAGTGAGCAACAGTGACAAAATAAATGTTTACTGAAAGAAGACTAATTGAAAATTAAATAGATGGCTTACAAAATTCTGGCTCTTGCCAGCCTTTAGCAACAAAAAGACCTAAATTTGTACAAGGTTTACGGAGACGCACACAATCAATTATGATTTTTACATTTATATAGAATTAAATAGTGACCCAACTTGAAATATTACCAAAACAGATTTTAAATTAAAAGAAACGGTACAAACGAAAAAATTTTTATTTTCGCGTGCACTATGAACGCTAGCTTTTGGTGAAAACCTGAGGAAATTATACAAATAAGTAACTTTCACAAAATAATGTGTATAAGAAAACTCTGTAAAGAAAAACTTAGTAAGAGCTTAGAAAGCCAACAAAATTTTAACGGTCTAGGTATAAACATAAAAGCAAATCAATGTTTTGTTTGTAAAGGAAGGGGTTGCGTTTAGATGAGGTTAAATAACATCCAACAAAGTGTAAATTTTTAAAAGATCTAACATCAGACGATATTGAAGAGGGCGGGCTATCCATGTTTTTTGGTAGACTTTTTAATTAGTATTTAGTATGTAACGAGCGCTTCCCCAGCGTTGTAGAAGTTTTTGCTGCAAGTAACGTGTATAAAAGCCTGGAAATTACCCCGACATTAAAGTAATAAACGAAATTGATG